CAGTGCTAGGGATTGAACCCAGGGCTCTGTACATACCAGGCAAGTGCTCTACCACATTTTAGGCTTTTTTTCTCTTTTATTCTTTTTTCTCTTTTGGTACTGATTGAAGCCAGAATCCAGGGCCTCTCAACCACTGAGCTACATCTCCAGTCCTTTTCACATTTTTATTTTGAAGAACACTAAGTTTCCTCAAAATAAACAATAAGTTTCACTAAGACTGGGTTTCAATTTGTGATCCTCCTGGCTCAGACTCCTGAATAGTGGGGATTATAGGTGTATCACTGCACCTGGCCAAGGCCTCATATCTCTTTCTCTCTGTCTCGGTCCCTCCCTCTCTGTCTCTCTCTGTCTCTGTATATCTCTGTCTCTGTCTCTCTCTCTCTCACTGTAGATTGAACCCAGGGCCTTTGCACTGAGCTACATCCCCAGCCCTTTTTAACATTTTATTATTTTGAAACAGGGTCTCGCTAAGTCACTAAATTGTTCAGGCTTCCTGCCTCAGCCTCCCAGAGGGCTGAGGCTATAGGCATGCAGCACCACACTCGACTATTTTCCATCTTTTGTTGATTCCCTATAATATTCTAGGTCACTTAAACCACTCTTACACATTTGGACCTTCCCTTATCTTGTGGTCATTTCTGTACTTTAATTTGCTGTGGCCATCAAATGCCTTCTGTGCCCTCATTTTCTGGTGGCATCTAGAGCTGGCCTCTCATGGTGTCAGTGTCCAGTGACTATGGATGACCCTCATGGACCCAAAGTAAGAATGAAGCTCTGAGGGGCCCTTCATGGGGCCCTGTGAGGAAGCCTGATGGACAGGGAAGCGTGGCGTGCGTGATATCTGGGGTGAGTGTGACCACAGAGCTGGACGGCGTCAGCCAGGGAGGTGACGCAGCCTGCAGGGCACCTCTGGCTGGATTCTGTCTCCCTGCCTCCTTCTCTGCGTCCAAGCATCCAGCGTCTGGATTGTCTGGCTCTGATTCACTTTCCTTCATCATTACCATAGCTAGTTCCGCGTTCTCCACATTCCTAAATCTCCTTTATAGTTCTCTCTGGACACATCCTGTTCTTATTTTACCCTGGCTGGTGTAGGAATCTTGGCTTCTTCCATGGGCCAAGTAGTCCTTGGCAATCAATGCCTGGTGATATAATGTGGAGAAATAGAAACTCTTCCCTCCCCTGAAAGAACATCCTGGAGATGAGAGATTAATGTGTATAAAATAATTAGAAAAATGCAAAGCTAGGTATGGTGGTACACACCTGTAATCCTAGCACTGGGGAGGCTGAGTCAGGAGGATTGTCTCAAATTCAGGACTAGCCTTGAATTTGGGCTGCATAGTGAGTTCAAGGCCAGTTTGAACTACATAGTGAGACCTCATCTCAGAAATCTAATTTTTTTGAAAAAGAAAAATAAATAATTATAAAAAAGCATAAAATTTCCAGTATGCCAAATCGCAGGTTTGGTGTGTCAGGGTGGAGCCTTGGGGATTGTGGAATGTGGAGGGAAGGCTTCCTCATGCTGGGTGGCGAAGCAGGGTTGCCCCTATGGACAAGGTGGGCTGGGAGGCACAAAGGGGAGCGCATGTCCCTTCTCCCCTCTGCATCCGCATCTCAAGGGAGCAGTCTTTCTCCTTGCCACTTTGCTCCCGGTGAGCATCTGTTCTTTCCAGACCCTCCCACCCATCTCTCCTTGCTGTCCTCTGGGTCCTGGTTGTGGACTCTCCTCTTCTACTGAGTTGGGCAGGTGCCCGGAAAGATGCTGGCCAGGGTCAGTGGGGGCTTTGTGGGTGGTGGAGGTTCCAGAGACGAAGCAGCTGGGTGACACAGTCTAGATGGAATCTGCCATGGGGCACTCTGGGGGTGCCCCGAGTCACCAACTATTCCTTTCTCACTGGCTTCCCCACCATATGAGAGCAGGACTCCTGAATGTCTCTTCATCTGAGTCATCCCAGCCCCCCACCATCTATCCTCCACATCAGAACTTGGCCAGGCTCTGCCTGTGCCCTGGGTCCCCCAGAGCCCCTTTGTGTGGTTCTGCAGCTGTAGAGCCAGATGGGACAGGAGGGGAATGGAGACCCTCATCTGGCCCTGGAGGCCTGGGAGTGGGGCAGTGGCTGTCTTCCTCCTCCAACATGGTGCCGACTGGCTTCTTGGTTGGGGTCTTTCTTGGCCTGGGCCACTGGACCTTCTGGGATGTCCAGGGTCAATCTTGGCTTTGTCTTCAGGGCCTGACACTCTCATTGCCCTCGAAGCAGCACACTACCTGGCCCAGGCTGGCGCCCACCTGGAAAGGCTTTCCCACCACTTCCGGTTTCCTCCTCCTGCCGCTTCCTGTGTTCTTGCCCCTGCCCCTGCCCTGGTGTCCCTCACTGTCAGAGTCCACATTGCTGTGTTGCCTTCCCTGGCCTGAGGTAGCACCAGGAGAGCCCAGGATCACTGCCTGCTGCTGCGCACTCAGTGCAGCCTGCTTACAGGCCGGGCTTCTGGACCCAGGATCTGCCCGTGGTCATCATCATGACCGGCCATGCCAGCTCCCATCCTCCCAGACCCTGAGGGCCTGAGCACAAGCAGGAGCCCCCCTTTCCTCCTCTGAGCCCCAGTCTTCCCTTCTGCAGAGTGGGGTGGCTATGCCTCCCTTGTAACGGCATTCTTAGGGACTCAACATGCATGTGCGAGGTACCCTGCTGTGTCTAGCCATAGAAAGCAGCCAGTAGATTCCCAATGAGTTTAAAATTGTCTTCTTTATAAAAGATGTAGCCAGGCATGGTGATGCAAGCCTGTAAGCCCAGCGGGAGGATCATAAGTTTGAGCCCAGCTAGGACACCTTAACGAGTTCATGAGACCCTGTCCAAAATATAAAATAAAAAAAGGCTGGGGATGTAGCTCAGTGCAAAGGCCCTGGGTTCAATCCTCAGTTCTGGAAATAAGAAAACAGTGTCTTCTCTTGAGCTTCTTGGTTTCCTGCAGGTAGAGACTGGGACTCACGTGCTAGAGGGGAGGAATAGGAGGGCTCAGCTAATCAGGTCCTTAGAAGACCTCAGAGGCTGAGCAAGCAAGGCCACCCATGACGCTGGCCTGTGTCTGGCATGGATGGCATGAGGTGACCAGGCTTTCTGGGGAGGAGGACCTAGTAAGGGGTTCACTGCTGTGCTGAGATCTCGGATCCAGAGCAGAGCCCCCAGGTGGGCCCTCCCTGCCATCCCAGGACTCGCTGTCCTCTGAGGCTCCTTCCTGGGGGCTGTGCCCTGACTGTGTCAGGAGCAGTGAACAGGATGGCGTGAGTAAGGCTGATGCAGGCAGAGCGAGTAACTGCCTCCTGCCTTGCCTGCTGGGGAGCCCCTGGGGGAGAGGGTGAGGGGAGCTGAGGTGGCAGGTATGAGGCAGTTCAGATTCAACAGAGGACTCCCGAACCTTCTGCTCCAGGGTGGAAGGGCATTTAACACCTCAGGAGCCAGTTGTGGTGACAGAGTCTGTAATCCCGGCAATCAGGAGCACTCAGGAGGCTGAGGCAGAATTGCCAGCAGTTCAAGGTTAGCCTGAACTACGTAGCCAGACCCTGTCTCAAAAAAAAAAAAAAAAAAATCCAAAAATAAATAAATAAATATTTTTAAAACACCCGAGGAATTTGACCTGTATTTTTTTTTTGGAATGGGCATGTGGCCCAGGTCCTTGGATAGGAGCAGAGAGCTGTGCACTGTCTCCTTGTGTCTTCTCTTCCTCCCGCACCTTGCAAAGCCCCCAGGAAGTGCCACAGGCAGGTGGTTGGCACAGTGTTGGGCAGACCTGTCCCCTGCCTGGTGATGACCTTGGAAGTTCGGTCCCCATGTCAGCCTGTCTGTGGGTGATGCCTTCCCCTTGAGCCAGGGTCTTGGAACAAAGTAAGAGACAAGACAACTGGAAGTATGAATTCCGAGGTGGTTGCTTATGTCCCCATCTGTGTGGAACTGCCTGCCTGTCCACCCCAGGCTGCTCCCTGGGCTCACACTGCCCACTGCAAGCATAGTGGACACCCTGCCAAGGGACACTGCAGGCCTGCAGAAGGGGCCTCGATGGAAGGAACACTTCTGCTTCCTGCCTCTCACTTCAGCTCATTGCTGTCCTGGGCCACGGCCTCTCCATGAGGGGCCAAGCTCCTGGCTGATGGCCAGCCCTGTCTGGACAGGAGGAAACCAAGCTGTGAGGCACCAACACTGAGTCCTAAGAGCAGAAATTCCACCGGAAAGGGAACAATGTGCAGGGCAGTCAGTGACTCTGCAGGAGGCCAGGGACTGGGCCTTTCTGTCCCAGGGTAAACAAGCCCAGGCAGGGCAGATGCCACTCACTGTCCTCCAGGTGCACGGGCTGGAATCCAAGCTGGAGGGCCCGGTGGGCACCCACTTGGGCACAAACTCCCCTCTTCTTGCTTTCAAAGGCAGGTGAGCTCCTTCGGGGAGAACTGAGGTGGGAGAACTGCAGGGAGGCCAAGGGCAGAACTAAGGGGCATCTGGCTAAAGAAGCCCCTGTGGCAGAGGACAGGATTCCATGGCCTCCCACAGCCAGTTGGCTGCAAGAAGCCAAGTAAGACTGCTGGGAAGAGCTCTGGGTTTGGGGCAGGGTTTTCAGGAGACAGAGCCTGCAGTTGGCTCCATGAGGGATGGAGAAGACCAGCCCAGGACTGCCATCTGTGGTGCCAGAGGGGACAGCTCCTTTCTCTTTCTGGGCACAGACTAGGGGAGCTAGGAATGAAGCAAACCCCAAGGTTGGAGAAGGGAAAGCCCACACCTGGAAGGGACAGAAGGAACACTACCAATGGGCCGTGGTGTCCCTGTGATCGACACCCAGCCTCCCATACCCAGAGAGGCTGGAGGGAAGATCGATGCTGCCACCCAGCATGATGGTGCACTCTGAGAGGCTGAGGCAGAAAGATCACAGGTTCAAGCCCAACCTGGACAACTTACTTAGTGAGATCCTGTCTCAAAAATTAATGAATAAGGCCCGGGGATTTAGCTCAGTGGTTTCGCTGCCTGTTGTGCAAGTGGAAGAACCCCAGTTCGACCCCCAGTACCAAAAAAAAAAAAAGAAAAATTAATGAATAAATACACAAATAAATAAAAATAAAGTCTGGGGGTATAGCTCAGTGCAAAGGCCATGGGCTCAGTCCTCACTACTGGGAGGGGAAAAAAAGGCATGATGCCCACTCTACAGATGGAGAAAGACAGGTTGGTCTCTTGCATCTTGCTTAAGGTCATGCAGCTGATTTGAGGGGCTGGCTCCAGCTCCCCCGACCCCATCCTATGGCTCAGGGCCTCAGCTATCCCCTTGACACCCCTTGCATGCCTGTCCCTGAATCTCCAGCCCAGGGTGGGCCCAGACCCTCCAGAGCAGGTGTCACTGTTCTCCGTGCTGCCTCCCCCCAGATCTGCCAAACTGAGGAACTGACTCCAACCAGGCTGTCTCAGGCCCACCCTCACTTTTGAATGGTGTCATTCTGGGCCTTGGTTCAAGGTCCCCAATCCCCAGGACACATACCCAGGAGGGCCCAGCAGGACCCAGTGATTGGGATCAGCCTCCTAGGCTACTGGTGTTTGGGGTTTGTTTTCTTCTTATCAGCTGCCCTGGTGTCTCTGACATTGAGACTGTAGCCTTTCGAACCAGATGAGTACCTGCTGTGGAATCTCAGGGCCCTGTGCCGGAGGTGGCTGTTAGAGCCTGGGATCCTCCTGGTCACACTGGAAGGAGCCACCCAGAGGCCCTAAGGCTGGGTTGCTGGGAGACAAGGAGCTACAATCTGTGGAGAGGGGCCAGGGAGGAGGTATGTCACGTTGTCCTTTGACTTATTTTAAGTTTCTGTCCCTGTCCTTCCCTATTTGTGTCTGTGGGCTGTTTCTTGTTTTGCTTTTGTTTTTGTTTGTTTGTGGCACTAGGAATTGACTCCAGAGCCTTCAGCCTGAGCTACACCCCAGCTCTTTTTTATTTTGAGACAGGGACCCCCTAAGTCACTAAGGTGCCTAGGCTGGGCTGGAACTTACAATCCTCCTGCCTCAGCCTCCCAGAGTGCTGGGATTCCAGGTGTGCGTCACCATACCAGACTTCTATGATCTGGTTTATGTTGATCTTGGACTTCAGGCCAGACTCTAAGGAGGGTGGAAAGGAAGCAAAGAGACAGAAACTTGGTCCAGGGTACAGTGGGCCCTTGACTTAATGAACTCAATTTGTTCCCAAGAGCTGGTTGTAACTCAAGTTGATCAACTGAAGGCTCAGGCTCCTCTACACAGCCTTCAAAGTCTTTCTCCTGTGCCCAGGCAGATGTTCTTAGAGAGACATTGGCCCAGGATTTCTCAGTTAACTCACACAGGAAAGAATGTTGTAATGTTCCTTCCAGAGCTCTTTAAGGGTTAATCTGTATCTGAGACCATCTGGACGCACAAGTGGCCAGGATTTGGGTCATAATTCAAGGCTTTGGTCATAAGTTAAAACTAAAAATTCCAGTCATAACCCGTGTTGTTTGTATGTCAGGCCAGTCGTAACTCAAGGGTCCACTGTATGGGGGGAATGTTCACCTTCAGGGTAGAAGACCAGTACATTCACCTCAGATCAGGAGAGAGCTACAAGGGGAGTTCATGGGAGGCTCTGGGGAAGATGGCCGAGAGGAAGACCTTGAAGAAAGAGATTCTTTATCAAAATTGTCATCTGAAACCATTTTGCCACTATCCTCTGCCCTGTGGCAGGACTGTGGAGGGACTTAGGGATTTTTGTGAAGGGAGTATGTATAAAGGTAAAGATCAGAAGCCTCCAAGTGAGTCTACATGGGTTGCGTCTCTGGTGACCCATGAGGCATGGAAGCCAGTGAGGGGATTTCTGGGGGCTGGGGCAGGTAGGGACCACGCAGGAGGGCAGGGGGAGGACTTCTCAGCTAGGGTGCAGGAACTTGGCAGAAGGCCTGGAGACAGAGAACCCCAGCTGGAGCATCTGCTTGTGTGGGGGTGTGTGGAGGAGTCCTCTGTTCCCGCTCGCTGCCCTCTTGCCCGGGCCTGCTCTCTTAGTCAGCCCTGTGCCAGTTACTTCCTCCTCTGGAGCTCCAGGGTGGCGATGAGGCTTCCGTTATTCACAGCCTGAGCAGCAGTTAGCTCCCTTGGGTCCCTCCCAGGGTGCAGCCCAGCCTGCCAGCTCACTGCCCTGGGGTGGCCTTGGATCCAGACAGCCCCAGTGTATGTCAGGGTCTACAGAAGCCCTGGGCCTGCAGGTGAACTCCAGGCCAGCTCAGGAAGCAGAAAGGCGACAGCCCTGCTTCCATGGCACGTAACTCATCCCAAAGGGACAGCCACGGAATCAGAAAGAGATCAACAGAGGGAGACCTGGGGGCCCTCCTTCTCATTCTGAGCCCTACTTTAGATGAGAAGTCACAGAAACCATTCCTGAAATCGGTCTGAAGGGACTTTTATCACCAAGCCCTCCATTTCTCAGGGAATTCTGTTTTGTTGTGGTCTGCCTTTGGTAGTATGTCACTTACTAGGAATAACAGGGCAGAGGCGGCAGGGAGGGACTGCATGCACGGAAAGCCCCAGTCCTGGGAACTCCCAGCTATTATTTCTGAGACTCCCAAGGGCCTGCAGATGACAGGTCATGTTGTGTTTAGGATGCCGGGCTGGTTTCCCAGGCTGATTCAGGCCCATGGTCAGTGACCTCGCAGCAGGTGGAAGGTGGCAGGGCTGTCCCTCCTGGCCTGGGTGAATTCTCTCTCTGATAGGGCTTTCTTGTCCAGTGGACCGCTAGTTCTACCAGTTGGATGGATGAGTGTGTGCTTGTGTGTGTGTGAGCAGTGGGTATCTGCTGTGATTATATTAATTGCACAGCCTCCCTTGAACTTCCTGTCTCTTAACAAGCCTGGTACATTAGGTAGGGCAGATCTCCAGGGTCGCTGTGGGAGGATGTGGGAAGCTGTGAGAGTGTTCTTGTCAGGGATGTTGGGGACATGTCTCAGTTTGCCACATCGGTTCCTCCACACCCTCCATCGTCTGATTTCCATCTGCTATCCATCTCTTTTTGTTTGTTAGGCAGCTTTATTCGATACTGGCCCCCTCTTCCCGCTTCTGCCTCTCAGCTGCCTCCCTCCATACACACGCAGCCCTGGAATGTCCCACGTCCTCTGTTTAGGAAGTGTAGCGTCCACTGAGCCTCCCAGAGCTGGCAGTGTGTGGCACTGCCTTGTCCTTTGACTGCATCGAATGTGTTATTCTCTTTTCACTACTGGATCGCTAGTCATTGAGAGGGAAGAGTATGTGGGTGCACACCTTCCTCCAAGGCCCATCCACACTGTGCCTTATTGACGCCATGCCCTGAGGGAGCTGGTGCTTGGGCCAAGGAGAGGAAGGTGATGCTGCCTTCTGAGAATTCAGTTAGACATCGGCGAGGACATCAGGGCTCTGTGGAAATTAACAAGGAGTCTGTCTATGGGTGTCCCAAATCCAATTAGGGAGACCTGGTAAAGCCTCAGAGCAACAGATACGATTGTGATTGCAGTGGGGAAAGCTGACTGCACTATCCTCTGTCTGAGGAAAAATGCCAAGGAGAGGAGAAAACTCTGTGCCTCAGTGGACAAGGGCATCCAGAGACCGAGTTTTGTGCTCTCTCCCTACTGTCCAGGAGAGCTGGTACTCTGCCCCAAAACATCAGTGGCCAGGCCACAGGTTAGGCGTGCATATGTCACACGCTGTCCTTTGATGTCAACAGCCATTGAGGTCACCCAATGCACTGGGGTGTGGTGGGGCATGCCTGTAACCCTAGCACTTTGGGAAGTGGAGGCAGGAGGATTGAAAGTTTGAGCCCAGACTGGGCAACTTAACTTAGTGAGACTCTGCTTCAAAAATAAAATAAAACATTAAAAAGCCTGGGAATATAGTTCAGTACAAAAGCCCTGGGGTAGGTCCAGGGGTAGATACAGATAAAAATAATTACCCAAAACCATGCCCTCATTCTGATTCCAGTTACTCAGTAACTCTCATGAGGTCCCAGGAGAGATGTGCCTATCTGGGCCACTGGGGACACTGAGAAGCTGGCACTCTGGTTCTGTACCTCAATTTTTGTGTGTCCAGTTTCCATGACTTGGCTCCTGAGACTGGTCTGTTTACAGTGTGCTCACATCGGCCAAGGGCCAGGTGCGGGACTGTGGTGAAGTCACCATGATGAAACCACCTCATCTGGGTGACCAACCACCTTCCCCAGCTGGCCATGACTTCCCCGACATTTTTCCTCTTGCTGTTTGCATTGGTTACAGCGAGGCAAGGCCCAGTAGACACTTTCCGCATGGTACAAGTATTGATCAGTGTTTGGAAACGAAGAGAAACACCCCGGCCCAGGTGTTTTGCCTCTAGGAGGTGTGGGGAGAAGGCATAGGGTCCCAAGAGAGGAATGAATAAGTGGATAAGTGTTGATGGAGCATCACTCATGTGCTGGCTGCTTTTGTTTGTCCCCGGAGCCCCATGGTACAGTATATCTTTTTTTTCTTTTGGTACTGGGGACGGAACTCGGGACCCTGTGCTTTTGAGGCAGGCGGCTGAACCACTGTGCTAAATCCCCAGCCCAGGTACAGTATATCTGACTGTGTTCATTTACACAGGAGTACCAGAGAGAGGTTCAGAGAGAGTCAGTGAGGAGTGTCAGCTAGGAGTGCTGGAGCTGGGATTCAGTACAGCTCTCCTTGCCCTGATCTACTTCCTTGGAGGAGCTGGAGGCAGGATGGGGGGTGGGGTGCTTCTGTGCTGGGACAGGGGCTCCTGGAGGGAGGGAGGGCTTCACGCCCACCATTTGCCCTTGGTAGCCAGACTTGGCAGCTGTGGGCCTGAGCTGAGGATGAAGTGCTAGGAAGTGAGCTCTGGGGAATTTCCAGTCTTGATTCTTTGAGAGACGCGATCTGGCCTGGCGCCCTGACTGGGAACACCCTCACAGACCAGAGAGATGCACCACGTTCCCAGCCACAGGCGGGAGCCGTGCCTGAGCCCCACGGCGCTGTCTTCCTCCGGCTCCTGGACGCTGGTTCTCGCTTGAATGGAGACTCTGAGCGGGGCTGTGTGAATCACCAGCTCTCCATCTGTCTTCCTGCCCATGATGGGCTTGGATCTCTGGTTCTTTTCCCCAAGGATCACATAAGAGTTGGGCAGAGGCCAAAGCCCACCATGGCCAGCTTGGTCCAGTGCTTCACCTACCTTGGCGAGGGGCAAGCCATGCCCCGTGTACTCTGTCCCATCCAGTGTTCTCTATCGCCCACCCTACCAACTTCCCATGTGACTCCAGTGCCCCAGGCCCACCCACAATACCTCTCTCTGAAGGACAACATCTCAGCTGGAAAGACTTTCTTCTTGACAGAAAATCGATAGAGGTATGGGGATTGTGATGGTTTGAATACGTCCTCCAAATTTTGTGTGTTGGGAACCTAATCTCAATCCATATATTTAGAACTCCCTCTAAATAGGAAGATTAGATGGGGTCACGAGGGTGAGGCCGCCATGATAGGACTGGTAGTTTTACAAGAAGAGGAAGAGAGACCTGAACTGACCTACACTTGCTCTGTCTCAGCGCTTGACACCCTCTGCATGCTATTGCACAAGAAGGTCCCTATCTGATACTGGCACTGTGCAATCCCAGCAATCTGGAAAGCTGAGGCAGGAGAATCTTGGTTTCAAGCCCAACTTGGGCAACTTAGTGAGACCCTGTCTCAAAATAAAAAAATAAAAATAAAAATGACGAGGATGGCCAGGGATTTAGCTCAGTGGCACCACACCTGCCTCTCAAGCACAAGGTCGTGAGTTTGATCCCAAGTACCAAAAAAAAAGAAGAAGAAGAAGGAGGAGGAGGAGGAGGAGGAGGAGAAGGAGAAGAAGAAGAAGAAAAATGACTGAGGATGTAGCTCAGTGCAAAGGCCATGCACTGCAAAATGGAAAAGAAAAACACAAAACCACAAAAACAGCGTAAGACAGGGCCAGAGAGGGAAAGTGGTGGATGAGGTTGAAGGGATGTGGCCTGTATGCAAGCTGGCCCAAGGCTCCCAGGCCGAATCAGGACTGGGCTGAGATCCTCTGTTCCCATAGCTCCCTCTCCAACAGATTGTGTGGGAGGCTCCAGGCCAAAGCCTGGGAAGAGGGACTCCCTAGATCACTTTTCTGTGGGTTTCCTGCTTGAGCATAGGGAAGGTACTGCCTACTCCAAAACTCCAGCGCACGGGATGCCACCTCCTCTCCAGACCAGCTCTGCAGGTAGAGGGCAGGGACAGCAGCCCCAGGGCCTCCACCCCGCCAGCCTGAATACAGGCTCACCCTCCCACCTCCTCCACCAGCTCCCTTGCTGCCCCAGCTTCCACCAACTCCTATTTTCCTGCCATCTTTCCAGCTGAGGAGAAGCTGTACATCAGGGTAGAGAGATATTTTGGGAAGTTGCTGGGGAGGGAGATGGAGAAAATCACTGAGCAGATCAGATTAAGGTGCCATGCAGTTTCCCTGGAGGGCCTCGCGGCCAGCACTCCCCAGGGCGTGGAGGGCTTTGTGCTCTGCCCAGCTACGTGCACAGCTCCTGGTGATGTGGCCTGTTTCTGGATCTCTCTAACCTCACTGTCCTCAGCTTTGAGACCGGAGTGATAGTAATACCTACCTCCTGGTACCAAGTGGGACTCAGGAGAGAATAGGAGACGTGCACAGCAGGTGCAAAGTGTGCCCAAGTACCATTCATTCCTTCTCATTCATTCATTTATTCATTCATTCATCCATTGATTCATTTAGTGTCTACTGTGGCTCAACCACTATTCTAAGGGCTTAGGATCTATCTGTGAACAAACAAAGACTGAGACAGAAGTGGCAGGGGTGCCGTGGGGGACAAGTCATAAACAAGCACCAGAATAAATAAGGAAATGTTACAGTACAGCAGCAGCTTCAAGAGCCATGGAATAAAGAAAGCACTTCCCCAGGGCGAGGTTATTATCCTTTTCCCCAGACGTTGGATGTGTCACTGTTATTCATGCCTGCCTTCCAAAGGAAAAGACAAACCTTGGCCCCAGGGCCTTGTCCCAGCTGTACAATTGCCAGGGCCTCCCAGGTCAGGCTCCACTTGAAGGAAGGTGACTTGGTTTAGCATAAACTCGCTCATCTGTTCTCTAAAACAACAGATCAGTACAGAGAAGATGAGGAATGGTCAGTGTGAATCAGAAGTCCTCGTCCTGAAGGGGCGCCCCGTGAGCGTCTGATCAGGGCCTCCAGGCCTCCGCAGGCAGAGGAGACAGCCTGTGTGTGGCCTTCACATTGACTAACCCGGCCCAGGCTCCGAGTCCCTGTTCCCTCTGGATTTTGTGGAAGAAGCGTTACTCTTTTTCAGCCCCTATAGCTGTTTTCCTCTGGACATCCAGACTGTCCCTAACCTACTATGTGGGAAGAGAAAATAGACACTGCTATTTCTGAAAGTGACGAGATGTTTTCGAAGTTGCCCTTGAGAAAAATCAAGCTCAGAGAGCCCCATTCCTTAGCCCCCCAAAGGGGGAGGGACGCTGTGACCATCTGTCCAGCATGTGTCCAGCCTGTGACGTGTCCCTTCTTTCCCCACCCCCAGTGTGGCTTCTTGTTCTTGTCATCACATCCTCAAAGTGGGTGTAAGAAGGAGAGCAGTCTGGGTCCCTGGCCTCTCACCTCGCACAGGGCTGTTCATCAAGGTTGTGGGCAGTGCAGATGGCCCCGGTGTCTCTGGGCCTGTGACGTTCAGCAGTGCAGAGGAGGAGAGATGGGGCGGCCACATGGCGAGGGGCACGAGGCCAGAGCATGAGGCCCGTGTGAGTCTGGCCAAAGAGGGAGGTGTACCACCTCCTCACCGCCCAGGGGGTTGCAACCAGGAACAGCCTGTTCTCCCCACAGTCACTGCTCACAGGGGCCAGAGCGGTCTCTCCTGCCACCAGCAGAGTCTTCTGTGCTGAGTCACTCTCCCCGGGGTTCACCAAGGCGCCGGTCCAGGGCTGGCTGAGTCATTAGATGATGAACTGCAAAATTCTTAAACCAGCTGTCACCACAGCAGCAGAGCCCCTGCTCCCTCACCAAGTCATTCAAAGCATCTCCGGTTGTCATTCTCTCTCTGTCTTGGGGGCCCTGGCAGTCAGATCAAGAGAGAGGAAGGGCCAGGGCATGTCTAGGGGCTGCTTTCCAATGGCTCCACTCCAGACCTCTTCTAACAGGACCATCTGCCCTGTGAGCAGAGGCGAGAACCTTAGATCTCCTTTTGCCCATTCTGTCATTTCATCAACAGGGAACACAGATGGACTCAGGTGACCTGGCTGAGATTTAGAGTTGCTTGGGAAAACAGAGGACCCGGTGTCCAACCAGGAAGGACAGCTTTGGAGTCAGACGAGCCCAAGGCTGAGAGGGTTGAGCCCACTTAATGGGCAAGCCTCACCAAGCCTGGGTGTCCTTTTCTATCAAATAATGCGAATGATTCCTGTTTTGCAGACACCCAGGCTTCTGGGAGCTGATGACTGCTAAGCAGGCACAGGCAGGGACTCAGTTACTGCTGTTTACTTCGTGTTTAATAGGGAGGCCAGGGGCTGAGGTCCCATTCAGGAACTCTTAGAGACTAGGTCAGGGGAGTAGGTTTGGCCAGTGGGCAGATCTTTCTGGAATCCTGATCCTCTTGACCCTGAAGGGAAGATCACAAATGAACATGCTACAAGCTATCCAAAATGCTTGTTTAATTGCTCCACACTAGAAAAATAGGCAGAAAGCAATGTGATGGGCATAGCCACCTTCACCTGGGCTCTCCTGCCCACTTCCTGCATGTCACACCTCCGAGCCATCATACTGGGAACTGTGCACATGGTCACAGCCTGCACGGTCTGGATCACCTGCTGGAAATCACCCAGAAGGCTTAGCACGGGAGACGCACATCTGCACAGTGGACTCCATCTCTCCAGTTGGAGCAAGTGAGCTGGGACAGAAGGGATCACAGGTGGTAACTGTGCTACACCTTACAGCTCCTGCAGTGTCCCCAAGGAATGTGTGTGACCACCCTGGGAGTCACCATCAGACAGCCATGATAATCTGATTTCCTCTGGTTTCTTTCTGGGCTGGAATGTTGGAGGTTCCCCAGACCCACAAACACATCTGAGCAAAGGTCTAAATTTTTCATAAGAACTTTATTAAAAGAAACAGAGGAAAGATACAAAATGCATCACCAAAGGAATGAAAGAATTCACAGCATAGATGCCTGATCCTACAGCAACTCACAGAGATGGGCTGGTCTATGCATTGAAGAAGGGAACAAAGGCCTTGATTTTCTGTCTTCAACCCAGTCTCTCTTGGCCCACTCAGCCAACCAGCTCCAACCTTCTCTGGAGACAATTCAGGCTGCCTTGCCGCAGCTCCTTACACCCACTTTCCTAATTTCTTTCTGCACAGCCCCTACTCCACTGGTGCCCAAGATGCTTACCCAGCATTTCTGGTGGGATCTTACCTAACTTTACTCTCTCTTCTCCACCTCTCAAACCATAGGAGTCTGAGGTCCTCCCAAGACTTATTTTTTGTTCCTGCATTGATGCATTTAATTAAACTATGTTCATGAGCCAGTAGGGTAAGCTGGTTCTCCTACCCTTGATCAAATTACCTACTTTTCCAAGCCTGCATGTGAACTTGGTCTTTCTCCAGCTAGAAACGTCTTCTTGGGCACTCTCTGGCAGCTTTCCGCCCCAGGTAATGAGTAAGTGCTTTCTCCCCAATGCAGATGTCTGCATCCCTGCCCCATCTCCCACTAAATTTATAGGGCAGCTCAACATCTCAGCTTCTCTGCCAAGGAAAGACAATCAAACACTTTGATCTTGGCACCCACCAGCAAAATCTTGCCCAGTTCAGGGCACCAACCCCATCAACTTCCTTTGCAAGTTTTTCACTTCTTTCTTGGACTTCTGCCCTTTTGGAATTCTATCTCTGCAGTTTTAGAAAATGACATCATTTTACAGATAGAGTAATAGGAAGATGACAGTGAAAGAGAGCTATTCCCTCCCAAATTATATCTTCTCTGAACTATTAAAAGATTGGGCCACTCTTGCCATTTTTAACTTTTTCTAAATGTCTATGGTAATCAGTCCTTAATTAGTACAGTCAGATTCTCAGCTGGCTTTTAGGAATGGCAATGAATCTTAGCAAGCTGGCCATTGGTCCCTTCTGCTTCTGTAGTCACTGTGTCTTCCCATATTGCTTCATGTAACTGCTGGAAAGCAAAACAAAACAGCTTCCTCCAGAAAAGACAGTCTGAAGACAGCAACTTTGCCAAGATCTATCACACTGCCTCCCCATTCAAGCTCACACTGATGGTGGAGCTTGAGGTCAGCACAAGTCAGGTGAAATTTTCCTAACCGATACTGTGGAGTCGGGCTTTACAATATGCAAAGTACTTCCCTACACTTCTCATCCCATCCTTACCACAACCTTGTGAGGTGGGCATGGTGGATATTGTAATCCCATTCTACTGATGTGCAAACTGAAGGTCCAAGTTGTTAAGGAACTGGAGCAAGATTGCACAGCTCTTGTGGAAGAGCCAACACCCAACTTAGGTCTCTGCTACTTTATCCTCTTCCCCCTTTCCAGCATGAAGAATATAAACAAGGCCTTCTCCTTCCTCTCCTCTCGACCCAAATAGCATTCTCCCAACTAGTCCATGCACAATCTGGACAATCAAGAAAAGAACAATTGATCAAGCTAATTGTCACATGCAACATGGGAGGTTGCTGTACATCAAGAATGTTTTTTTTCTTTTTTTGGTACCGGGGATCAAACTCGGGTCCTTGCACTTATGCAGCAGGTGGCAAAACCACTGAGCTAAATCTCCAGCCCAAGAATGTTTCTTTCTGTGCTTTCACTAGGATTCCACCCTTTCACTAGGATTCCCAGGTCCCAGGTCGGGTGTTCAGGATTTTACTTCCAAATTATGCTCTTAGCTACACTTCTCATCCATCTTTCACATTTTGCTAGCATTCTGGCCCCTTCTATACCTGTACCTTTAGGAGGAAAATTTAGTATTTCCCTGTCTCCCAATGCCCCTGGGAAGCCACTTGGCCTCTTCATCACTAAAAGCATTTGTGGGATTCTCTCTCACAGCTAGAGGTCATTTCATTTCTGAAGGTCTCAATTCTTGCTTTATTGCCTGAGCAGGCCACATGTCTATCTGGCTTACTAACCAGGTCCTCTGCCCAAAGCCCCTCTGCATCTCTGGAGAGCTGCTCTTCCAATTCAAGAGTGCACAAGCTCCTGGAGTTGTCTCTCACAGCTCGCCCCCCGCCCCAAACAAAAGCAGGACACCCCAATCTCATCCCTGCTCTTGACACATTGTAGCCTTGGGAGACACATGATAGACTGTGTCCACAGTGCCCCCTACTGGAGGTTCCCCAGCAGCCAACATTTTTGCACAGTTTAGTTAGGGCTATGGCATTCTGAGGTGGGAAATCTCTGGAATCAGACCACTGACCACTATCTCATCCTTTTCTAGACATGAATTCATTTCACAGATATTTAGTGAGTACCCACGATGAGCTATCAGGTGCTAACTCTGCAGTCAGAACTGCAGTGAAGACAGACATCATCTGGGCCTTCATACCCCTTATCCTATACTAGTTGGTTCTGTAGAACCACCATTTCATTCCCACTTGGTCTGATTTAGCTGCTGAACTCAACAAGACTTCCCCCCGGGGCCAGGGATTTAACTCAGTGGTTCTGCCGCCTGCCTCACAAGCTAAAGGTCCCAAGTTCTATCCCCGGTACCAAAAAAAAAAAATTCCCCCAAAACTAGAGACTCCACAATTATCCCTCCACCTATGGGGACAGCCTGATCTCTGCCAACCTTCCTGGGGCAGTTTCAGGTCCAGATGGGCCTAGCTCCAGTGACTCTTCCTCTCTGCTGAGCCTTAACTATCTGGGATTCTCCTCCCAAGCTCCTGCCTCTCCTCTGAACCCGTTGTTCTGACTACACATCCACTCAACTCCAGTAGTTATTCTTTTTTTTTTTTTTTTGGTACCAGGGATCGAACTCAGGACTTTGCACTTAGGTGGCAGGCGCCAGAACCACTGAGCTAAATCCCTGGCCCAGTAGTTATTCTTGAATATCATTTATAGAGGTGTGTTTTGATGAAGTAAATATTCAAGCATATATGTTAAGTCATGGATAAATACTAACTGAAGTAGCAATGTGCATATGTGAATAATATCAGAAAATAACTCAAAAAGAACCCAACCTCCTGTATCACCATTTACAATTTTGTTTTTCTGTTTGTTTGTTTTGGTACCGGGGATACTACTTACAATTTTCTCCAGTTACTATTCAGACATACTTTTCCTTAGTTGTTATCACTACGTGATAATTCCAAAATCTCTTCTTTTTCTGTGCTCATGACTGTATCACATAACTACTTCTTCCAAATAGTCTTCATACTTGTCATACACAAGGGTAGAGCTCATTCCCTTAATAACCGCAGTCTACTTAGCTGTCACCCCACAATTGAAAACAGTTTCCAGTTAATGACTGGACTACAAAGAGCAGCCACAAATGTCTCTGTACAAATATTTTCCCTAATGAATTATTTTCCCAGAATGTATTCCCCAAAGTGAGATAAGATAGTCTTATAATTTACACTTGATCTTAGCCAAAAGGCTGAGAAGCGATAGTCTTATAATTTAAAACAAACTTTTGTAAAGTATTTCCCCAGTAGTTTCCAGAAAGCATTATTTATTGTGTCAGGAGTCTACATATTTCTTCAGAACATATTGTGAAAATTCATTTTTGACACATGCAAGGTTTTCTTTTTTCCATTTTACTAGCCCTTGCCTGTCATATTTCCCCCTGGGTGCACAGCCTAGTCCATCCTTTGTCTTAGTCAGTACATATACAGTATTGAGACTCAACTTTCCCTCATCATATCAATTCTATGTAGTTTTCTTATCTTACTGGCTTTCTTTTAATCAATATCCTGTGCTGTATGTATATTTTTGTTTTTATATGATCGAAGTTGTCCACCTGGACATTGAAGATTTGCACCATTGTTTCGATAAATAAGAAATGTGCTTCCCAGAAAAGGATTTTCTTTTTCCTACCCCTGGCGTCCTGCATTTTCCATATGGACTTGTTCTGGATCCCTCTGGTTTCCAGGAGGGTTCCATGATCCCTACATCCATTCCCTTGCGGTCATCTCTGGATAGCCCTTAGCTAAACATACCCATAGAATACTCAATCACCAGTACCACCCTGGTGGCCACAGTCACCTCTAACTGCATCTTCGTTTTTATTACTCCACCCATCCCTGCTCCACTGCTGACTTCTCAGGTCCTCCAGCTGACGAGGCAACCCAGTCCCACACTGGCCTCTAGAGTTTCATAGCTTCCCAATTTCTCTACCTTAGTTCAGCCAAGCAAAGGTTAACATTTCTCAAAGGAACTCTGCTGAAAAACTAAGGGGAAACCAACAACAAAAAGACTCCAAAAAATGTAAAGGAAGCCCAACAGAAGTGCTGCATGGTAGAGATTTTACATCCAGCATAGCTATCACCTCACATTGGCTCAGGGTGCGAAGCACGGAGAGCTCCCCTTCTCCAATACTCAGTTTCTCAGATGCTAACTCTGCAAGGCTGGCTTTTCTGGTAGCCTATTCTCTTTACAGCCTCTGAGGCTAATACCTACAACTTCTGCTCTCACCTGTACTCGGACCCACCTGAAACCTATTTCCCTGGAGGGCCAATACTTTCTGGCTGTGGGGAGCAGACATGCCATTGCCATCTGCAGCCATTTTGAGATCTCAGGGCTCTTGTGACCCCAGGCTCTCCTGTGCCAATCTGAGGGCAGCCAGTTCTTGGTTCCTTCAAACAATGCCTACAACTGACCTACCTTTGGTCTTTTTTGTGTGTGTGGGATGCTAAGGATTAAACGCAGGGCCTTCACCCTGTGCTACATCCCTAGCCTTTTTTTTTTTTTTTTTTTGGTGCCGGGGATCAAACTCGTGTCCTTGCGCTTGCGCAGCAGGCAGCGAAACCACTGAGCTAAATCCCTGGCCCAACCCTAGCCTTTTTAATTTTGAGACAGTGTCTCGCTAAGTCTCCAAGACCCAGGCTGGGTTTGAACTTTCGATACTCCTGCCTCAACTTCCCAGAGAACTGGTATTACAGGCATGTGCCACTATGCCTGGCTAGGTCCTTCAAGGCTCAGAGGACAACATGTACTCCCCTCTCCAGGACTCCCTCTCGGCTACTCCACTAGGAATGGTTTTGAAGAATGAAAATCAGAACACATTTACAAGTCCCAGAAATCTAAACTATATAACAGTGGCATCAACAGCAGCATACAGTCACATACAAAAAAGCAAGAGGCTCGGCTGGCTTCCAGAATGCTTTTTGCCCAACTGCTTCTGAGAGCTATGGTTACACCACTGCTATCGGTCCCCAACCCTGCACATCAGCAAAGGGGTTAGTAGCTTGGCATTTCACACTGAAACACTGGCGATCTCTGCCCTCCAGGAAATGTCCTCAGCCACAGTATCCCCCCTCCTCCCTCCTTCCCAGTCCTACTCCCTCTAACTGTCAGGGGAACGAACCCGAAAGACATGGATGGTCCCATTACTGAGAGACACAACCAGATACCTGCCGTCTACCATGGTGGTCACCCGGGGCTTTTCCAGGCCGTGGAAGGCTGTCAGGAAGTCGCCAAGAAGTGACCCCTTTGGGTCCAGGATCACGACCTTGTTGACCTCTCGGATGGTCAGAAAGATGTAGCCATTCTTATCCACAGACAGGGACCCTGGCTGGCAGCCATGCAGGCCGGGTCCTTTGTACTCCCCAATCACCTGACCCAGCCCATCACAGACCACCACACTAGTCTGCTGCCAATCGGACCCCACAAAATTGCCCTGGGGGCTGGTGGTCAGGAACACCAGTGCCCGCTGGCCCCGGCTGGCCTTGCCCCCAGGGATGAACCGGGTGGCCAGGCTGCCTTCCATGTTGTAGACTTCCACATGGCCCGCCACGCTGACAGCCACCCGGTCCCCACTGGGCAGTGCGGTCACGGCATGGCTGGCCTGGCCAAGGCTCAAGGCCCGGCGCCACTGCACTTCACCACTGGGGCTAATGAGATAGAGCCTCGCACCAGCAGAGAAGGCCACTGCGCTTTGCAGGGCAGCCACACTGCACGGGGAGCAGCCATCAGGCACGGGCACTACACCCTTGTAGTCGCCATTGAGGGAAAAGCGTTTCAGCGCCCTGTTCTGCTCATCTGCTACCAGGATCTCCCGGGGGCCGAAGGGACAGAGCCCAGTGATGCGAGGGGACCGCTTGTCTCCAGGCATCCGCGTGGGGAAGCTGCAGTAAAAGATGGGCCTGGGGAGGAGGCCTGAGCCATCCAGGTTTGGCTCTAGGGCAGGTCTGGGCTCGCGGGTGATGGACTTGCACCTGCCTTTGAACTTTTTCTTCTTGTTGACTCTGCCACCAGACTCCAATAGGGCTCCTGCATCTTCCTGGGACAACTGGGCTTTGTCTTCTTTTAGGGTTGGGGATCCATCCCTACACTGGGGCTGGACTCCACTCTGCCCCTCTGGCTTAGCTCCAACCTCTCTCTGGATCTGGGTTTCAGTCCCTTCCTGGGTAGCCGCTCCATCTTTCCCACAGTCCTTCTCCTTGTGCTGTTCCTCAAAAGACAGCCGAAGAAGATGGCAGTCTTTGTCTAGGAGCCTGGGGTGGAGCTCCAGCTGGGGCAGCAGGCAGGGCGCCGGCCCAGGCATCCAGGGACAGCCCTGCAGCTGCTGGAGTCTCTGGGTGATCGCCCCCTCCAGCGAGAGAATCTCGGCCTCGCGCCCCAGGCTGAGCACCCGCCGGGCAAAGGCAGCCGCTGCCCTGGCCACCTGTTCCCTGTCCTCTAGCTTGGCCAGCCTCTCCCGTGCAGCCTCCTCAGCAGCTTCCACGTGGGCCCGTAGCTGTCCCAGCACTTCCTGCTTCTGGGCCAGCAGGGCCCGGAGGACCCCTTCAGCCGCCTCCTCCACCTGCGTCCCCACCCTGGCGGCCTGCTCCCGCAGCTGGGCCAGGGCTTCCTTCTCCACCACCCGAGTGGCTTCCAGCTCTGCCAGGTTGCTGTCCACACCTGCAAGGAGCTCCTCCAGGCCGGGCCTCCGGGCGCGCACTGCCTCAGCCAGGGGCAGGCAAGGGTGGTCCAGGTGGGGGTCCAGGCGGCACTCGCGGCATAGCAGCTGGGAGCAGGGCTGACACAGGAAGCGCAGAGCCTCCCCAGGGTGCTGGGGACACTGGGCTGCCTGGCGCTCCCGGGCTTCTTCGTCATACCACCCCGCCCGGTAGCCCAGCAGGTCCACCACACGGTGGCTGTGGGTCTGGCGGGTGCAGCGATGGCCGTCGGCACAGGCCTGGCACAGATCGTCGGCACAGTCCAGACACCGGGCCGTGGCCGGGCCCCCAGCACTGGTGGCCCCCACCAGGGGACACAGGGCACAGGCCGGCTTCCCTGCACGCAGGTCCCCACAGGCTCGGGCCTTCACCAGGTCCAGGAGCCCGTTGACAAAGAAGTTGGTCTTGAAGGCGGCCACTCCGGCAGGTGGCACAGGCACGGCCTCTCGGCACTCGGGGCAGCAGACGTGGCTGCCCTCGGCCAGCTGGGCCAGGCAGTCCTGGCAGTAGGTGTGCAGGCAGGGCAGCGTCTTGGGCGTGTGCAGCTGCTCCAGGCAGATCTTACAGGCCAAGAAGTCACTGCTCAGGGCCTCCAGCAGCGAGGCGGGGGAGCCCTGGGAAACCATTCTGTGAAGCAAGAGTGGGGTCAGGGTTCAGAGGGCAGAGGGCACCTCCAACCCAGCCCCTCATCCCAAGCCTCCCCACATTCCCAGGTCTGGGATCTCACCTGGTCAGGAATTTCCTTCTTGCTTCCTGAGGACTTGGAGCTTGCTCTGGGCCTAGGGAGCCACCCTCTTTCTCTTCTTCTTCTTCCTCCCCAGGTATATTCAGAAACCCTGAACCTGGAAATGATGCTGCTTGTGTTGAGCCTGTGAGAAATCAAAGACCAAGAAGGCCCCTGGCCTTACAGAGCAGAAAACCTAGGTGACAGGCTTGTGCCAGGCATCACAGGTGTCTCCCCGGGTGAACGGGTACTGCTGTGTGTCCCCCATATCTGTCCTCTAGACCCTGGGGCAGCATCCTGGGGCTTAGGGGCCACTTGCTGCCCCGACTTGACTTTTCTGGTAATGGATTCTGGGCTCCTCTTCTGGAGTCCTTCCCTTTTAGCCCTTCCTGCCCAATGCATTCCAGAAACTTCTGAATGATAGGAGTTGTGGGCTCCCAGCGTACACAGAGATCTGGTAGTTTTTCCCCTTTCCTGGGGTTGGGGAGAGGAGGCGCTTAAGAGAGTCAGGGAGGTCTCTGGGGGAAGCTCCCCCCGCCCCCCGCCGCCGCCGGGGAGGGGGTGGGGGTGCCCTGCTTCCCGCCTTCCCTCCGGATCCCTTTTCCCCCCTCTCCCCTCCCTTCCTCTTCCTCACGCGCGCTCGCTTCTCCTCCCTTTTCCTGGCCCCCCCATCCAGTTCGGGCTCTGCTTTTTAACTGCCCCACCCTTGCTTACCCAGCCAGAGCTGCCCTTGGACTCTAGGGGCTCCGGGGGGACCCCCGCGGCCTGGACACCACTGTTGCTGACAGCGTGTAAGAGAAACAAAACTGAAACTAATTGTACTTGTGGTGCAACTTCCGTCCCTGGCCGGGACACCGAGAAGCACAGACTCAGGCCCCGCCCTTTTCCCCACCCAGCCTGGACCTCTCTCCGGAGGTCCCCAGGCCCCTCCTCAGGCAGGGTTCAGGCAGGGTTCAGCCCCTGCTGCTGCTGCCTGAGTGAGTGAGTGAGACTCTGTGTGTGTGTGTGTGTGTGTCTGTCTGTCTGTCTGTCTGTCAGTGTCTGTTGTCTGTGTATCCATTGCAAACAAGGAAGCGCCTGAGGATCTGTTCTTCCCTTGGATGATTCAGAGACCGGGATCTAGAAAGCAAGTCCTCCAGCCAGGCCTGCAGGGCTTGGGAGCACCTCAAGCCTGGGCGAGGCCCTGCGTAGGGTAAACCTTTCCCGAGCAACCAGACGCTGACCACAATCTGCTTCTGCAGCGGGCTTGGGCAGAGAGGAGGGGCACGGAGAGTTGGGGTTCAGGGAGTAGAATGCAGGGAAAGGTATTCCAGAAATCGTTAGCAGCATGAGTATGGGGACAGAGGAATGAACTATACAGTTCTCAGTGGCTTCCGACAATTTAGGATTCGGGTTGTGCGAACAGTGGCAGAGGAAGTTATAGAGGGAGGAAGTGGCCAGATCATAAAGGGACTCATGCTCAGCTAGAGTCTGTTTATCAAAAGAGCCAAGGATAGTTTCTCCAACATTTTATGGAAAATCAGAAGCACCAAGAAGTTGAAAGAACTGCCAGGAACTCCAGTAGCTCCAGCATTTAGACCCCACAGTTGTCAGTCTCCACCCATGTGTTCGACCCTCCCGTGTCTGCAGGGCAGAAGGTGATCGAGAAGCTGAGGAAAAGCCTTCCTGAAGCAACAGCGCAGGGAGTGATGAGAGGACTTGGACGCTGGGGTCAGTGCAGGGCCTGAGATGCAGCTGCCAGAGAAGGAGGTACATGGAGATCCAAGAGGGAGGAAGTCACAGCCAGCAAAGCAGGGACACAGGCCTTCCAGGAGGAGGAGGTGGCTGGAGCTGTGTGACAGGACAGGAAAAGGCACCAGCGTCCCGACTTCGGATGGTTCAAATTCACAGGTCTCCCCTCACCCAGGAACTGGGGACTGAACCCAGCACCTCTGCACTGAGCTACATCCTAGACCTTTTTGTTTTGTTTTTGTTTTTTGAGACAGGCTAGGTAGTTCAGGCTACACTTGAATTCACGATGTAGCCCAAGGCTGGCCTTGAACTCTCAGCGATGCTCCTGCCTCAGCCTCCTGAGTGCTGGGGTCACAGGGGTGCGCCACCATGCCTGTCTTCATCCCAGCCCTTAAAAAAACATTTTGCTTTCATTTTACAGACAAGTAAGCAGTGTTACAAAGACATAAAAGTAAGTTACCTAAGGTCACTTAAAGTTCTACAGAAACACGGAAAAGGCAGAGTTTGTTTCTCCTAGGAAGAGTGTGGCAATCAGGAAAGCTTCATGGAAGAGGTAGCAACTGAGACACTGCCCCTTCCCTCCACTGAACAACTGCTTAAGGCACCTGCAATGTGTGCCAGGTCCCACAGAGACCAGTTTTCCAGATGAGAATGCTGTCTCTTGTCTTCTACTATAGGTGAGGGTGAGCGTCTCCATGGAGACACACTCACCAAGAGGCCCAGGGGTGGAGAGGGAGCTGGGGGGTGGGCAGGACCTTGTCAGATTCTGTAGCTCTTCAGAGTGACTCAGCAGAGGGACCTCAGGGGGTCGGTTTCATAGGATTGGGCGGGTGCAGGCAGGTGGAACCAATCCAAATTCCACACTGAGAGTGCTGTACTGCCAAGCTAGCAAGAAGCTCCTGCAATCAGCCCTCCACATTCCAGGATTCAGCCTCCTTGGTTCCTTGTCCATGGATTCAATCAACTTCGAGCTGAAAATATCGAGGGTGGGGGGGACTTGCATCTTTGCTGAATATGTACAGATTTTTTTTTTCTGGTCATGATTCCCTACACATACATATAACATCTCTCTTCTTCCATCCCAACCTGCTGGCAAGTCACTGATCTGACTTCTACCCCTTTAATTTTGTCATTTCAAGAACGTGGCACACACTTGTAATCCCAGCACTTGGGAGGCTGAGGCAAGAGGATCGCCACAAGTTCAAGGCCAACCTGGGTTCCATGGCAGCCTCAACTACACAGTGAGATCCTGTCTCCAAACAAACAACAATAATGTTCTAGAAATGGAATCATAAAGTATGAAATCTTTCTTTGGGGGTGGCTTCTTTCACATTGCAAACCCATCCAAGGATCCATCCAAGTTGTATATTTGCCAATAATTTGTTCCTGTTATTGCTGTTATTCAGATGTACCAAATCCAAATAGCCATGTGGGCACTGGCCTTTGGATTATTTCTGGGTTTGGTTTATTACCAGTATAGCTATGACGAACATTCATGTACAGGTTGTGTGAATCTGAACTTCCATTTCTCTGGGATAAATGCTCAGGGCATGTTTGATGGGATGTTTAGTTTTGTTTTTGTTTTTGTTTTTTGGGGGATTGAACTTGGGACTCTGTGCTTTCGAGGCAGATGGTAGAACTACTGAGCCAAATTCCCAGCCCCGTTATGTTTAATTTTAGAAAATGCTAACCCATTTTTCCATTCCCTTCAGTAATGTATGACATCTGGTTTCTCCACGACATCGCCAGCTTTTATTAGTATTTTTATTTAAAATTTTTTATCTATATGTCCTCTTTTTATATATCTTTTTTTTAATACTGGGAATCGAACACAGAGCCTCACGCTTGCTAGGCTGTGCTATATCCTCAGCCCTATCTTTTTTTTTTTTTTTAATCTCCTCTTTTGTAAAGTGTCTGCTGCTCTTTTGCTGATTTTAATTGGATTCTTAAGATTAATGTGGACTTTGAACAGTTTTTTATACTTTCTAGATACAAGAAATTTGTCAGATTTGTGATTTGGAAATATCTTGTCCCAGTCTATAGCTTGTTTTCATCTTATTAACAGTGCCTTTGGACAGCAACATTTTCAGTTTTGACAAAGTTTAGTTTATCAGTTTATTCTTTTAGGGTTCATGCTTTTGTAGGGGATATCTAAGCAGTGTTTGCCTAGGCCAAGGTCATAATGACTTCCTCCTGTGCGTCTAGAAAGTGGACAGCTTTGATATTTAGTTAGGTCTCTAGTCCACTTAGAGTTAGTTTCTTGCTTATAAGGATCTTTGGCTTTTTGGCTATTGCATACAGATGTCCTACTGTTCCAGCACTATTTACTGAAAAAATTCTTTCACTTTTGAATTTTTTAGCAGTTTTGCACCAAAAAAAAATCAATTGACCATAAATGTGAGGGTTTTTTTCTGCCTTTTCAATTCTATCCCGTTGTTTTATATGGCTGCCCTTATACCAATACCACACTGTTGCGATTACTATAGCTTAGTAGTAAATTTTGAAATCAGAGTGAGTTATCAAACTCATTCTATTTCTAAATTATTCTGGCTATTTTAGGTTCTTTGTATTTATATATAAATTTTAGGGTCAGCTTATTAATTACTTTAAAGCTTTCTGGGATTTCAGCAAGGATATCATTGCATCATAGATGAATTTGGAAATAATTACCATCTTAATACTGAGTTTATCTGTTCATTTATTTAGATTGTCTTTAAATCTTAGCAATGTTTTTGTACTTGTTGATGAACAAATTTTCATTCTTTTCTATGCATCTTTCATTCTTTTTTATGCTATTGTGAATGGAATTTTTTTTCTAATCTCATTTTGTGATTATTGGTAATTTATTAAAATGCAGTAGTAACCCAAGCACAAAATACAAGTAATCTGTCAGATATGTGGTTTGCAAATATTCTATATATGTAGTATCTGTATCTTATGACCTTGCTTATTGGTTATAGTAGATGTTTGTTTTCTTCTTTTGATAGAATCTTTAACATTTTCCATATACAAGTTCATGGCATCTACGAATGATGACAGATTTACTTCTTCTTGTTAGATCTATATGCCTTTAATTTTTTGTTTTCCTTCTTGTACTTATTAGAGTCTCCTACAGAGGCTAATAAAAGTGTTGAGAGCAGACAGTCTTGTCATAGTCTCTTTTTTTTTTTGGTACTGGGGATCGAACTTGGGTCCTTGAGCTTGTGCAGCAGGCAGTGAAACCACTGAGCTAAATCCCCAGCCCAGTCTTGTCATATTCTTGATCATAAGGAGGGAATATTCAATCTTTAATTAATTCAGCCTTTAATTAAATACCATGTTATTTTAGTATTTTTTGTAGATGCCCTTTATCAGGCTGAGGAAATCTCTATTCCTAGTTTATTGGGAGTTTTGGGTTTTTCTAAAATCATGAATAGGTAGTGGATTTTCTCAAACACTTTTTTTTTCTGGATAGATTGAGATAATCATATTGTTTTCTTTATTCAGTGTGGTATATACATCCATTGAGATTTGGGAGTCAAATAAATGTTGAATTCCTAGATAAAACCCAGTTCATCACAGTACATTATCCTGTTCACATGTTGCTAAATACATTTTGCCAATGTCTTGTTAAGGATTTTTGTATATGTTCATGAGTGATGTTGGTTTCTCATTTTCTTTTTTTTTTGGAACTGGGGATTGAACTCGGGTCCTTGCGCTTGCGCAGCCGGTGGTGAAACCACTGAGCTAAATCCCTGGCCCGGTTTCTCATTTTCTTGATATGTCTTTGTCTGGTTTTGGTATCAGGGTTATATTAACCTCACAAAATGGGATGGGAAATGTTTATTTCTCCAAAAAGTTTGTATAGAATTGTTATTATCTCTTTAATTTTCTTTTTTTTTGTTTGTTTGATGAAAAAGTTTATTGGTTGTCATCTGAAAAATCTTCATAGAAAATTTGGTTTAATTCTCAGCAGCCCGCTCCTGAGCTCTGAGGAAGCTTGCCTTCTTTTGAGATAACCCTGTCTTTCTTCTGGGCAAGGGACATTTTGGGATGGTTCCATCTCTTCTTTTTAACTTTTCTCTTTGGCTTCTTTTCATAGACTGGATTCTTTTGTATAGCAGCATGAGCTTTCTTATACATCTCCGCCATCATGTCT